AAGGACGGAAGTAAAAAAAAAATTGGCCCATTTCCTTTTTCCAAAGTCTGCGGTGGAAAGTTGGATGGAGAAGAGTCGCAGTACTCACTTGCCATCCAGGAAGTCCATCAGGGGGCGCAGAACATTGTCGGCGTCCTGTGCCACCGTGTTCCTGGCGTTAGCTGCCACATTGCCGGTGCTCTTCACGTGACTGAGAATCTCCGACATCTGCTTAATACATTCGTCTATCCGGAACTGGAAGCTGCAAACACAGCGAATGTCTTACATGTAAAAATTTACATCACCTACAGTACAGTAACAGCTTTGGATCTACCACTGAGTACTTTACCACATGCACTGCAGCCTGGGTCATGTGACACCTATACAGGTCAATATACACTGCAGCCTGGGTCATGTGACACTTATACAGAAAATAAACCATGCAGCCTGGGTCATGTGACACCTATACAGACAATATACACTGCAGCCTGGGTCATGTGACACCTATACAGACAATATACACTGCAGCCTGGGTCATGCGACACCTATACAGACAATATACACTGCAGCCTGGGTCATGTGACACCTAAACAGACAATATACACTGCAGCCTGGGTCATGCGACACCTATACAGGTCAATATACACTGCAGCCTGGGTCATGTGACACCTATACAGACAATATACACTGCAGCCAGGGTCATGTGACACATATACAGACAATATACAACGCAGCCTGGATCATGTGACACCTATACAGGTCAATATACACTGCAGCCAGGGTCATGTGACACCTATACAGACAATATACACCGCAGCCTGGGTCATGTGACACCTATACCGAAAATGTACACACTGCATTGTGGGTTCTGTGACAGGTATACAGTCCATAAACTATGCAGCCTGGGTCATGTGACCCATATACAGTTAATATACGATGCAGCCTGGGTCATGTGACACATACAGATAATATACATTGAGGCCTGGGTCACTTAAGCAAACAATACAAACTGATGCTTTATAATAATAGTTTATAATAAACTGCAGCCTGGGACATGTGACAGAGTCACAGACAGTACACGCTGCATCCCGTGAAAACCTTTTCTCCCTCATCACGTGACCGTCATTTGCCTACATGTGAGTTACAGATCCGCCATGACAGTCCAGGGAGCAGGAAGAGGCCTGCGGTCAGTGCAGTGATTGATTCCCTCTGACATGAGCTGGATGTGCTTGTGCGGCCTGTCACTACACATCCCGGATGGACGGCTGATGGTCACGGCGCACTGCGCTCTGGATACCTGTGTGGGGGTGTCACCCCCTATATACACAGATATATATAAGATGACCTCATTAAACTTCAGCTTCTCCTCTTATTTATTGTTCATTTGTGGTAATGCCGCCAGGTCACGTCTCCCCGGATCACATCAGAGGAAAGCCTGAGGAGGGGCGCAAATATCAGACGACCCAACACAGGGGAACGATATAGGAGGGAGCACAAGACACACGTCACCTGACCCCGCACAACATGGGGCCGGCAATGCCAACAGCATACACTTCTATCCTACTCTATGATAGCCTGCTCCTCCCCAATACAACACCAACATCCCATCCATGTCTCCCCTGTATATGGTTATCTGTGCCGGGACATCTCAGCACAAGTCTGATTCAGCAATGACAAGGTGAGAAAGACTTTATTTTGGGGGTTAGCTCCCCAATTTCAGCTCAGCTCATCCTGCTCTTCCCCTCTGAGCAGTGTCTCATCAGCTCAGCTCCCCCTCTCAGCAGTGTCTCATCAGCTCAGCTCCCCTCTCAGCAGTGTCTCTTCAGCTCAGCTCCCCCTCTCAGCAGCGTCTCATCAGCTCAGCTCCCCCTCTCAGCAGTGTCTCTTCCCAGGAGTGACATGGTAGCCGAGCTCCCACCTTCCAGCTGTGACTCAGGAGCTCAGCTCCCTCTGCTCCCCCTCTCTGCAGTGACTCATGAGATTAGCTCCCCCCTCCTAGTAGCGAAGCTCCCCCCTTCCCAGCCGTTGCTCAGCAGCCTATATCCAACACATTGTTCAGCTTCACCTGGAGCTCCTTCAGCGTGTCGCTGGCCTCGGTGTCCAACTGGAAGACAGAGAATGAAAACCTGATTATCTGAACGCGCAATTCCAGCCGGACGGGTTATTCCGCCGGCCACTAGATCTCCACCGGCTGCCCGCAAGAATGAACACCGCCAGACCACAACCTGTCACCGGACCAGTACTAATGGTCCATGAACGGCTCCGTCACTCCAGCGAACCCCCTACTGCCGGGGATGCCAGAAATGTCACTCGTATCCCCAGCTGAGCCCGGGATACTTTGTATTTGCACTAAGAGTTACATTTTAAGGGCCCCTTTGGGGGGGTCCCTGGGGGGAGGACACAAAACCATAAGCCGAGGTCCACATTCAGTCCGTCAGAATTATCATTCCCCAAAGGTTTTCCTTTTTCAAGAATGTTTTTAAAGTTCCCTTTCAGAACAAAAACAAACAGTCATGTGATCCATAAAGCCAATCATAGAAAATGACTGGGAACCCCCCATTGATGCCACACAGCCTAGATCAGGGAAAATTAATTTTGCCGGGGGGTCCTAGCAACCAATGACTGCAGAGGAGGTGGACACCTGATGTCATTGGTTGTCTAGGATGCCGGCGGTCCTAGCAACCAATGACTGCAGAGGAGGTGGACACCTGATGTCATTGGTTGTCTAGGATGCCGGCGGTCGTAGCAACCAATGACTGCAGAGGAGGTGGACATCTGATGTCATTGGTTGTCTAGGATGCCGGCGGTCCTAGCAACCAATGACTGCAGAGGAGGTGGACAACTGATGTCATTGGTTGTCTAGGATGCCGGCGGTCGTAGCAACCAATGACTGCAGAGGAGGTGGACATCTGATGTCATTGGTTGTCTAGGATGCCGGCGGTCCTAGCAACCAATGACTGCAGAGGAGGTGGACAACTGATGTCATTGGTTGTCTAGGATGCCGGCGTTCGTAGCAACCAATGACTGCAGAGGAGGTGGACACCTGATGTCATTGGTTGTCTAGGATGCCGGCGGTCCTAGCCACCAATGACTGCAGAGGAGGGGGACACCTGATGTCATTGGTTGTCTAGGATGCCGGCGGTCCTAGCCACCAATGACTGCAGAGGAGGGGGACACCTGATGTCATTGGTTGTCTAGGATGCCGGCGGTCCTAGCCACCAATGACTGCAGAGGAGGGGGACACCTGATGTCATTGGTTGTCTAGGATGCCGGCGGTCCTAGCAACCAATGATGGCAAAGGAGCTGGACACCTGATGTCATTGGTTGTCTAGGATGCCGGCGGTCGTAGCAACCAATGACTGCAGAGGAGGTGGACATCTGATGTCATTGGTTGTCTAGGATGCCGGCGGTCCTAGCAACCAATGATGGCAAAGGAGCTGGACACCTGATGTCATTGGTTGCTAGGATGCCGGCGATCCTAGCAACCAATGACTGCAGAGGAGCTGGACACCTGATGTCATTGGTTGCTAGGATGCCGGCTGTCCTAGCAACCAATGACTGCAGAGGAGGTGGACACCTGATGTCATTGGTTATCTAGGATGCCGGCGGTTCTAGAAACCAATGACTGCAGAGGAGGTGGACACCTGATGTCATTGGTTGTCTAGGATGCCGGCGGTCCTAGCAACCAATGACTGAATAGGAGGGGGACACCTGTTGGCATAGCTGGACACCTGATGTCATTGGTTGCTAGGATGCCGGCTGTCCTAGCAACCAATGACTGCAGAGGAGGTGGACACCTGATGTCATTGGTTATCTAGGATGCCGGCGGTTCTAGAAACCAATGACTGCAGAGGAGGTGGACACCTGATGTCATTGGTTGTCTAGGATGCCGGCGCTCGTAGCAACCAATGACTGCAGAGGAGGTGGACATCTGATGTCATTGGTTGTCTAGGATGCCGGCGGTCCTAGCAACCAATGACTGCAGAGGAGGTGGACACCTGATGTCATTGGTTATCTAGGATGCCGGCGGTCCTAGTAACCAATGACTGCAGAGGAGGTGGACACCTGATGTCATTGGTTGTCTAGGATGCCGGCGGTTCTAGCAACCAATGACTGCAGAGGAGGTGGACACCTGATGTCATTGGTTGTCTAGGATGCCGGCGGTTCTAGAAAACAATGACTGAATAAAAGGGGGCCTGTGCTGGGCTATGGCTTGCCGAGGATGCACCGGCCTTGGTCAGCCAGGCATAACCAAGCGCAGGTCGGCGATCAGTCCGTGTCTGGTTCATGGGCTGGACAGGGACATTCCAAAGGGCCAAATGTGGCCCCTGGGCCATAAAATTCCCAGATCTGACGTAGATGGAGGAACCTCCGCTGCCGTCTATGTAGGAATTGAAGTACCAAACCAATTAAACTGGTCCTGACACTAGAGGAACCACCAGGATCACAGCAGTCCGCCACTTGGGTGGGGGCCCAAAAGGAAAAAGAGGGCCAGGCGCTGGTAACCAGCAAGGTGCCAACATTGCCTCCCCATGGTTTCTTGCACCGGGGCCCTGATGTTTCTAGTTACACAACTTGAATGCATTAGGGCCCAAGTAGAGAAGCCAACGCATTTCGCGCATCCAAAACACCCCCGTTCATTAGGGATTCAGTTGTGATGGGAGCAGTTCAGGCTTGCCAGCAGCTGGTTTGGCCCCCCGGGGCCACTGCATTCAGACAGTCGGTCCTCTCCATTTTCTCCAGGGAGGAAAAGTTCAGAGCAGGGAAGAAAAACTTATTTTAGTAGACTGAGCAGAGGAGGGCCACAGAGCAGCCAGCTGGGGGCCACAAAAGATGGGTAATTATAGTTTGGGGGGGGTGGGGGGAGGCAACAATGGAAGAGAGACCGGCGCGGAAGGGAAGACCGGCACGGCTGGAGTATTGTTCTCCGGAAATCAGGACAACAGAGCAGGAATTTTAGGGCCGAGCAGCTTAATTACGAGGTGATGGCTTATTGGAATTCAGCTCAAATTTGATTGGCTGCTCGGGCGCAGCACCGATACTGACATCATCAATGATATTCCTAACCGCCTGCTGATGAAGTATAATGCTGAGAGTCCCACGACTTTGCCCTCCTGCTGCTGCAAATTTATTTCTTTTTTACATTTGGATTTAAGCCAGTGGGGGTCAACATTCTTGATAGTGCTGCCCCTCAAGTGTGGCCCCCGACATTACCAAAGGGCCACATAAAACGTTCAGTGAATGTAATGCAACAGGAGATGGGTCAGAGACTGCAGACATGGTACAGGAGACGGTCAGAGACTGCAGACATGGTACAGGAGATTAGCAGATATTGGGGACATACTACAGATGGTCGGAGACTACAGGCACACCCCCCCCCCTTTCCACCTCTGAAGATCGCCATACTAGGTATTATAATCCATGCACCGGGTCCAGGCAAACCCAGAAGTAGAAGAGGCACCCGCTTTAGGCCCTGTGGTGGAAAGGGCTCAGCTGGGGCCGAAGCTTCTCCCGCCTCTATTCTCTGGCTGTCACCTGCTTTCTGCAAGACCTAGTAATCAAAATAACAGATGAGCCCGAGAGGTCTCCGAAGGAACCTCTAGAAGCCTCCGAAGGAACCTCTAGAAGCCTCCGAAGGAACCTCTCTAAAGTAACCTCCAGAAACCTCTAAGGAAACTCCAGAAACCTCTAAGGAAACTCCAGAAACCTCTAAGGAAACTCCAGAAACCTCTAAAGGAACCTCCAGAAACCTCTAAGGAAACTCCAGAAACCTCTAAAGGAACCTCCAGAAACCTCTAAAGGAACCTCCAGAAACCTCTAAGGAAACTCCAGAAACCTCTAAAGGAACCTCCAGAAACCTCTAAAGGAACCACTAGAAACCTCTAAAGCAGTGGTTCTCAACCTGTGTAACCTCAGGACCCACATTTGTCCTTGAACATAAGTGGCGACCCAAGTCGCACTGCAATGGAATGCACGGCATTGCGGTACTGTGCGTGCGATCCTCAGCTTGGGGTCCAGTGCTTGGCTGCTGTGACGGAGCTCCATCCATAAATGCATTGCTTGTACAACTCCCTGGTGCACCCTGTAGGTCACATGAGGAAACTGTAAGCAATGCATGTATGGATGAAGCTCCCTCGCGGCCATACCTCCAGCCCACCCCTGCTCAAGCTGACACTTGGTGCCAGGCAGCATATTCTGAATGGCTGTTCACGGCAACAACTGATATTGCTACGCTAGGGGGAGGCTGAGGAGCCTCTCACATAGAAAAGTGGAAGGCATGTGGCGACCCACTGAAAACAAGGTCGCGACCCACTTTTGGGTCACGACCCACCAGTTGAGAACCAAGGCTCTAAAGGAACCTCCAGAAGCCTCTAAAGGAACCTCCAGAAACCTCTAAAGGAACCTCCAGAAACCTCTAAAGGAACCTTCAGAAACCTCTAAAGGAACCTCCAGAAACCTCTAAAGGAACCTCCAGAAACCTCTAAAGGAACCTCCAGAAACCTCTAAAGGAACCTCTAGAAACCTCTAAAGGAACCCCCAGAAACCTCTAAAGGAACCTCCAGAAACCTCTAAAGGAACCTTCAGAAACCTCTAAAGGAACCTTCAGAAACCTCTAAAGGAACCACTAGAAACATCTGAGGAAACCTCTACAAACTTTTAAGGGAACCATTAGAAACAATTGAGGAAAGCTCCAGAAACCTTTGAGGAAACATTTGCACAGAACCCAGTTTGAGAAGGACTGCATTAAAGCGAATGCTCCCCTGGGGCAGGAACTGGTGGGAATGACTCGATGTTTTCTGGGGATGTCAGAGCTACAGAACAAGTCAGATAAAATAAAACAATGAGAAAATGTTTCTGATACCTCCTTTCCTCCCATGGCTTCAAACATCTTCTCAAGCTGCACCCGGAGCTGCTGGACGTTGTTCATCAATATGCAGGGCTGGGAAGAATGAAAGTTTGTAAGAAGGACTGTGGTGGGGGGAGACAATATAATAACAACAACAGTGATCAGCTGGGCTCTGGTTCAGGTATTAGCACTCAGTCAAGTGCAACCTGTAGGGCTGTCATCCTTATCCTTGCTTCATTACTTACAGAGTCACTTTCCTGCACTGTGCAGATTTGACGAGCCACCTTTACTGCCTGGCCACCCACACTGCACACTCAGGAGCTGGGAGACCGTGTGTACAGTCAGGTAGTCGACAGGGTTCTGACTTAAGCTAAAGCCAAATATATAAGCAAATCCCTCTCTGTCCTAATTTATCTGACAGAAATAAAATACTAAAAGACTGAATTTATAGATTCTGGACTGTGCCAAGCGGAAAACTGGTCTTCTTCAATTATTCTGGTGACTCTGCTGGTGTCACGTAAACATGATGGATTCCCCCAGACACAAACCTCACGATGGTATGTCCTACCATGCTGCCAGCAGAGGGCGCTCTTACTCACCAGCTTCTCCTTGAAGCAGTACGACTGGAAGGATTTGGAGAGGATTTCGGAGTACTGCAGCAAGACTTTACTGATGGTCTGCCGAAAATAAGAGAGACAACTGAATCAGTACTGACCCGTATACAACATAACCAAGAGGTGGCATCTGCTCTCCTAATATGTGAGGATTATGCCAACAGGTCAGCAGAGACAACCATAGTACACATACATGGGAGCTATTCATGTAACTGAACACATATTGTATGACGTGTTTAAGAACTTCTTCTGGCTTTTTTATATACACTGAGTGGCCGGATTATTATATACACCGAGTGGTCAGATTATTATATACACCGAGTGGCCGGATTATTATATACACCGAGTGGCCGGATTATTATATACACCGAGTGGCCGGATTATTATATACACCGAGTGGCCGGATTATTATATACACCGAGTGGCCGGATTATTATATACACCGAGTGGCCGGATTATTATATACACCGAGTGGCCGGATTATTATATACACCGAGTGGCCGGATTATTATATACACCGAGTGGCCGGATTATTATATACACCGAGTGGCCGGATTATTATATACACCGAGTGGCCGGATTATTATATACACCGAGTGGCCAGATTATTATATACACCGAGTGGCCGGATTATTATATACACCGAGTGGCCGGATTATTATATACACCGAGTGGCCGGATTATTATATACACCGAGTGGCCGGATTATTATATACACCGAGTGGCCGGATTATTATATACACCGAGTGGCCGGATTATTATATACACCGAGTGGCCGGATTATTATATACACCGAGTGGCCGGATTATTATATACACCGAGTGGCCGGATTATTATATACACCGAGTGGCCGGATTATTATATACACCGAGTGGCCGGATTATTATATACACCGAGTGGCCGGATTATTATATACACCGAGTGGCCGGATTATTATATACACCGAGTGGCCGGATTATTATATACACCGAGTGGCCGGATTATTATATACACCGAGTGGCCGGATTATTATATACACCGAGTGGCCGGATTATTATATACACCGAGTGGCCGGATTATTATATACACCGAGTGGCCGGATTATTATATACACCGAGTGGCCGGATTATTATATACACCGAGTGGCCGGATTATTATATACACCGAGTGGCCGGATTATTATATACACCGAGTGGCCGGATTATTATATACACCGAGTGGCCGGATTATTATATACACCGAGTGGCCGGATTATTATATACACCGAGTGGCCGGATTATTATATACACCGAGTGGCCGGATTATTATATACACCGAGTGGCCGGATTATTATATACACCGAGTGGCCGGATTATTATATACACCGAGTGGCCGGATTATTATATACACCGAGTGGCCGGATTATTATATACACCGAGTGGCCGGATTATTATATACACCGAGTGGCCGGATTATTATATACACCGAGTGGCCGGATTATTATATACACCGAGTGGCCGGATTATTATATACACCGAGTGGCCGGATTATTATATACACCGAGTGGCCGGATTATTATATACACCGAGTGGCCGGATTATTATATACACCGAGTGGCCGGATTATTATATACACCGAGTGGCCGGATTATTATATACACCGAGTGGCCGGATTATTATATACACCGAGTGGGCAGATTATTATATACACCGAGTGGCCGGATTATTATATACACCGAGTGGCCGGATTATTATATACACCGAGTGGCCGGATTATTATATACACCGAGTGGCCGGATTATTATATACACCGAGTGGCCGGATTATTATATACACCGAGTGGCCGGATTATTATATACACCGAGTGGCCGGATTATTATATACACCGAGTGGCCGGATTATTATATACACCGAGTGGCCGGATTATTATATACACCGAGTGGCCGGATTATTATATACACCGAGTGGCCGGATTATTATATACACCGAGTGGCCGGATTATTATATACACCGAGTGGCCGGATTATTATATACACTGAGTGGCCGGATTATTATATACACCGAGTGGCCGGATTATTATATACACCGAGTGGCCGGATTATTATATACACCGAGTGGCCGGATTATTATATACACCGAGTGGCCGGATTATTATATACACCGAGTGGCCGGATTATTATATACACCGAGTGGCCGGATTATTATATACACCGAGTGGCCGGATTATTATATACACCGAGTGGCCGGATTATTATATACACCGAGTGGCCGGATTATTATATACACCGAGTGGCCGGATTATTATATACACCGAGTGGCCGGATTATTATATACACCGAGTGGCCGGATTATTATATACACCGAGTGGCCGGATTATTATATACACCGAGTGGCCGGATTATTATATACACCGAGTGGCCGGATTATTATATACACCGAGTGGCCGGATTATTATATACACCGAGTGGCCGGATTATTATATACACCGAGTGGCCGGATTATTATATACACCGAGTGGCCGGATTATTATATACACCGAGTGGCCGGATTATTATATACACCGAGTGGCCGGATTATTATATACACTGAGTGGCCGGATTATTATATACACCGAGTGGCCGGATTATTATATACACCGAGTGGCCGGATTATTATATACACCGAGTGGCCGGATTATTATATACACTGAGTGGCCGGATTATTATATACACTGAGTGGCCGGATTATTATATACACTGAGTGGCCGGATTATTATATACACTGAGTGGCCGGATTATTATATACACTGAGTGGCCGGATTATTATATACACTGAGTGGCCGGATTATTATATACACTGAGTGGCCAGTTTATTATGAACACCTGACGTTTGTAGGTAAATGAGCTATAATTTGGAGCTGAAGTTGCTAGAGGGCCAGACCATTATAAATAGGGAAGCAGGTTGGTTACCACGACAGTAGAAGTGATTGGGAAGATTCGGGGAAACAACGCGATATAACAGCCTTGGAACGCGGGATGATTGTTGGCGCTCGGAGCCATGGAGCGAGTATCAGCAAAACAGCAGAATTCGTTACATGTTCAGGAGCGGCTCATTGTTAAAGTGTTTAAAGACCGGACTGTCAGCCGAAAATCTGGGTCTGAACGTGCGAATTGTGGCCGTCAGCGACTAGTCAATGTTAGGGCAGAACGGGGGAGGGGCAAGACTGGTACAAGACAACAGAAGGGCGACAGTGCCGTGTCAGATTCCTCGCATCACCTTTCATCATCTCGTGGAGTCACGAGGCGGCCCAACAAAGTACTGATGGGGTGGTCATAATAATCTGGCCACTCAGTGTAGAGCAGATACAGTATGTGGATATGTGGGCCAAATGGTCCAATGTTGGCAGCAAAACTGAAAAATGTCCCAGTGGTCCTACTAAATTGTCTTTTTAGGTTCAGATAGACTTGATGCCAAATACTAAAATAGAGCGAGAGGCCACTGACCTTGGCAAACCTGCGCATGTAGTGGGCCACGATGACCGGGTCTGGGCACTCCAGTTTCTTAATGATCTCAAAGCTCTGATTGAGTTGGGTGAACACGTCCACCACGGAGCAGGAGAAGAGGGCGTGCTCCGACGTTTGCTGGAACTGTGGAGAAAGCACAGGAGATATAAATGGCTGATAATAGACTGTGACATCAGCAATCTCAGATACTCTTTGCTCGTCGTTCTCAGGCTCTATGTACGCAGAGCAATTTTATCTGTGGTAGGCAGTGTTGGGGGTTGCACAGACTTCCCGTCCGTTGTCCGTATCTTCTGAAGTCTCAGATCCTGGACATCTAATGTCTACAGGAACCCAACTCATGCTGTGCTGAAGTACTCAGCCCAGGCTCCAGTTTGGGTAGGGCAAGCTTTCAGAAATTTGAACATGTATGACCAAAGCTGACAAACATGGCAGCCAAATGTCTGGATCACATGAGGGACAATGCACATGAAGCCACCATTTCTGAAGCATCCATTCCCCATCCAGATCATTCAACTGCCCTGTGGATGATGATTGGTGTTAAGATTTAGATTTGACCTGAATTCACAGTAGACGGAACTTCGAACTGACCTATAATGCCCTGCGCACCATGACTTGAAGCCAACTGCATTATGTGAGTTGCCCAACATAACAAGATCATGGACACCCTTTCGTTTTAAAGCCAACTTCATGTTCTAGGTGTCTTCTGTCTGGACACGGGATGCCACAGGTCTCCCTTCTTCCTCTGTCAGATGGCGGATCTTAAATGCTGCAGAGAGCAACACTACGTGATTAAGTGGCACAGCTCTCTGCAGCTTGTGATCCAGGGTGCTGAGTTAGGGTATTTGATGCTTTGGGCTCCCACCCACAATTTGAATATACATGTTCCTTGGCACCATGCCGCACCCTGAGCCAAAAACTCCATCCCTCTTGACAGCTAGCAGTAGAAACTTTGTGCGGCTAGCTGTCAAACCCGGTTGTCACTGACAGCACTGGTCTCTACGAATAATTAGAAACCAATTAAGATTCCCCATCATGTGATCACCATAGCCTTGTGATAACACGCAATCTGCAGGTTTCATGTGCAGCTTTCTAATGTCCTCCTGTGACCCAAAACTAAGCAAATAGCGGGCTATTGACCGCTATATGCCGACAGTGCAGAGCCGCTCTGAAGCAATATTGGTGGGATCCACCCTGTTGCCTGATTGACAGCTGACTCTGCCTCTCTAGAGTCAGAGCCATCTGTGCCCGCCCGCTCCCTATCGGTTCCTCCAGTCAGTGCTGGAGGAACAGAGAGAGAGGAGGGGAATCCCTGCAGGGAGCGGGCACTGCCAGTCACCACTCTCTGCAGGTAGATGATCGAGAACTGAGCGATAAGTGGTATGCGATTGCTCAGTTCTCGATCACTGGAGCCAATGTCGGCTCTAACTATGGGGATGAGTGCTTTTCACTCTCCCCGTAGTTCTCCTTTAAAAGAACCTAAATCGTAAGTAGTCATCAGAGGCGTAACTAGGAATCACAGGGCCCCATAGCAAAATTTTGTATGGGGCCCTGTGATTTCTAGTTAGGGCCCACCTGATAACCCAAACAGCCCACCTGAGGGTGACCCTGCAGAGCCCACCATAGCCTCTCTATGGTGGGCTCTGCAGGGTCTCAGGCGGGCAGTCAAGCCCTCTTACCCGTCTGCTCCGATCCTCTGTCCGCCTTTTTCTCCTCCACGATCGCTTGCGGGCCCCGCCTCCTCCGTCACTGGGCCCCACCTGCTCGATCGCCGGGCCCGCCTCCCCATCGATAAGCCCCACCCCCTCCATCGCTGCCAACGACGGGCCCAGCCACCTCCTCCGAAGTTGCTGGTTGTCACCGACTCAGCAGCGGCTGTGAGGAGGAACGCGCCGCTGCACAGCCGACAGTGACAGCCAGCAGCCTGAGATGCCATAGCGACCAAGGCGGCCCGCACGGCATCAGGGGGATGTCCTGGCCTGGCCCCCTGTGCCCCGGGCCCCCTAGCGGTCACCTGGGTCGCTATGGTGATTGTTACGCCACTGGTAGTCATATTAGCCTTAGGTCTATAGCCAAGTTAACAAACCCATTCTGAAATTGCTACATTAGACCTGGCCACGTCGACTTCAATGACACTTGGTCATGAAAGGATTAAGCACATTCATACATACGCTGGCTCGTTACATAGGCAGCCTGTTATCCTGCTCATCTATCAGTGCTAGGTGATTGTACTTTATTGCTCCGCACTCACAATGCACAAAGGGATGTATAAGAGCCCCATGTATACACTGATCTCCTCTCCGCTGTCCTTCAGCAGAAGACTCATCACAATGATTTGATCCGGAGACATCGGCATACATAAAAGGTGAAAATTACATCAATAATTACCTTCAGGGAAACTTAATAACTTTTCATGTGCTCATTGATAAAACAGCACGTTTGAGGCCTAACCACCAGAGAATCCCCCCCCCCCCCCCATCCCACCCCCCAACACATATCACCAACAACAGTGA